GGGGCAACATTGGCCTAGAATAGGGTGTGTCCGACTGTGATACCATGTTAAGAAAATGGACCTTAGACCTAAGTTAACTTCAAAAGCAAGCTCGTATAAGGAGACAAACAGCCTATTCCTCAGACAATGTTGGACACTAACATACCGATCAAGGAATTAGAACAACTCATGCCTTGACATAAAAGAATGTTTTACCTCATAGGATTGGAGTTTCTATGATCCGTGCGCTGTCTAGCAGGTGAAAATCCTAGTGTTTGAAGAACTCCACTATGGCTAGCACTCCAAGACTTAGATGAATTCCAGGGACTTCTTAGACTATGATCAAGATCTTGATCCTTTTTCGCATTTGTTTGCAAATGATCAAGGCGTTTGTTAGACTTGTGTGACGGTGCTGGTAATGAAGGGACAATTGACATCTCATGTTCGCCTAATGGTGCAGGTTTCATTCCAGTAAGAGCAAATGCAGCTAATGCCTCAACTCCAAGTTCAGATTGATCATATTCTTGAATCACATCAATCAAATACTCTATTGAACTTTCACCTTTTGGTACTTTTCTCCCCATTCTACCAAGATGTACAGCAACATCTTTTGGTGATCCTTGATACATGAGCTGTCGCGAGCCAGAATAATGAGATGGTCAAGAAGCAACTGGATTCGAGACGATGGTTGATGAATCGTTAGGATCACTGTGCTACCAGCTCGCGCAATGGCATGAACTTTGTCAATCACACTATGAGCACTAGTTGAATCAAGACCTGAAGTTGGCTCATCCAAAAATAACAAGGAAGGTCCATGTATTATATCCACCCCTATTGACACCCTACAACGTTCTCCACCAGATACTCCTCGTGTCCCTTCATCACCTATGTATGTGTTCCTAGCCGACTGCCATAAAATAAACGATAAATGGTCAGGGGTAGAGCTTGAAGCCCAAATACAGGTTCGGCTGAACCCAGTAGCTTCTTGCTCAAACAGTATATTTTTGTTAAGAAATTTTTTAAATATGTACAAATATTAAATTTAGAGCGCAGCTATTAGCACTTGAAGTCGTTATTCTAAAATCCAGAACCCATAAAGCTGAAATCCTGGCTCCACCTTTATAAATGATTACAATATATAGTAATCTAGTGCATAAAAAATTATATGACAGTTGTTGATTGACTTACAGATAAACAAAAGCTGCTCGATTAGCTTCTCAACGCGCTGTCTTTTATCAGTCATTGAGATTGGCCCAAGCCTAAAATCAGCGGCAAAGAGCAATGTCTCATAAACAGTAAGCATAGGAAAGAGTCTATCATCTTGCATAATATAAGCAGAAGTTCTCTTAATAAAACTTGGTGTCATATCCATTCCATCAACAGAAACTCTACCCCTAAGACTTGAATATCTACCAGCTAAACCATCTAAGAATGTTGATTTTCCAGCACCACTTGGACCCATAACTGCAGTTACACAACCTTTTGGTGCATAGCCAGTTATTTGGTGCAATAAGTCAACTTCTTGATTCAGCCATTTTCCATCAGTATCTTTTATTTTCTTTGTCACAGTGTATGTAAGGTTTGAGAATTCTAGCCCACCTGTGAAATTTACTGGCCTAGTCCCTATATCGATCGTTGTATCGACTCGATGATGACCATTGACATGCCTCATAACTTTGGACAAGTATAAAATCTTGTGTTCTTTTTTGGACAAGTATTTTCTGCTTTATATAGAATGTATTTGCATATTTGATGGGCTGTGTAGGCTAGTGAGAGGAGGCAATTACAAAGTTGAAAGAAGCCTTTTTCAACGTTGAGTAATCCGTTTGAAAGTAGTTTTAATCGAAAAAGAGAATTTGCCTTCTTGTTTGTTTCATTGTCCATTTTCATTCTATTGCTTGTCTTATTACCTTTCACATAATAGCCAACGTCCCCAATAATTCTCCCTGTTTTATCTTCTTTGTTTTATTATTTTTTCGTGTTAACTTTAGCACGTACAAATTCTTTTTACTCTCGGTACCTGTGCTGATGAGAAGTAACAAATACTCATGAAATAATCAAGATGTGTGCAAACTAATCTGAACACCATTATAGTCAGCATCGTCATGATATTTTACTATACTTACCTTTTAAAACTTTTATCGGTACAAAAGTCTTCAACTTTTTAATATCTTTCATATTGTCTTTGAAGATCTTACAACTGAAAATAACTTAATATAACCGTATATTTAGGGGCGCCTTGGCATAACTGGGAAAGTCACGTGTTCGAACCGTGAAAACAGCCTCTTGCAGAAACGCAGGGTAAGGTTGCATACAATAGACCTTTGTGGTCCGACCCTTCCCCAGACCCCGCGCATAGCGAAAGCTTAATGCACCGAGCTGCCCTTTTATAACCGTGTATGACCCTCAAACCAAACGCAGTATTGGATACATTCCCCTGTCCCATCTATAAAAAGATCAACCATACAATATGGAAAACTTTTCTACGCAAGTAGTAATATATGTATTGTAATATCCCCATCATAATCCATGTATTATATCTTCTCTTACAGTTGCTTAAAATAAAGTCAGAACAAGGACATATACAATAATACACAATATAGAATTTGAAGGAAACCAAAGTTGGAACTTGTATATTTCTACGAGCAATAAACTGAATCCTTCATATTCCTCTTCTTTCTTTTCTTTCCTACTCCTTCAGGCAAACTTTAGTGTGTAATAGTTGCTCCAACAGTTGTCTTTAAATAGTCAATAGCAACCTATATATATCTTGAAATGTACAACTTGGATTCACGATTTCTTGTATGGAAAAGAGTTTTGTGACATCAGGGCTACTACCAGTGTAGCCGATAACTGGCAGCTTGCATAATGGGGTGGAGAAAGTAAGCACCTAATGTCAATGCTGTTATCGATATATATGGCAATCTGATAAATTCCTTGTAATAATCTTCGGGCAACTTTTGGCGGCCATCAAGAATAGCTGCAAATGGAATGATACTTGTTCTGTTCTTCACGACTTCAAAAGCCTCACCATGTCGTATAGCTAACCTTCGGTCTCCATTCCAGGCACCAAACAGATGATGTCCTATCAAACCTACTGAGGCTGCCACTGCAACTGAATTCCCGATCCACAGCGTGTGAGCTAAGCACCATATCACCTGTCCAACCATCTGATAGGGAGAACATAGGCTTCAATTAGCTATAAAAGAAAGAATAACAATACCTGGCAATGAAGCAGTAAATACAAGCAAAAATGTTTAACATATATGCACAAAAACAATGATAACAATCATGTAAAGGAAACTTGTTTCTCAAGTTTCAAGACTTGAGAAGGGTTCCTCTTTACTGAAAATCCTCAATTATGGAACAGCTTCATCAATAGGACGGTCTCTTTCCTTTTCTGCATTATCAGAACTGGATTACAATAATCTTGACCTCTTTTCCTGTTAAAGCTCATCATGCGGCAAATTCGTCCTTTTCGTGTAATACTATTCTTTGTGACATGCCTTATTTGACTCCTTCAACAAACCCTTTGACCCATAGAGTCAATACTTTGATTCACAGAATCAAAAGTAGAACATAGTTTCGCACGGTAAGATGAGTTTTATACACTTGTATAAACCTTAGGAAACTAGTCCTGAACCCTTCTGAAATTATAAACACAAATCATCATATCTAAACCTCCTTCCTTTGTTTATTACGTCTTTTATATCCTGGAAAATAATAAAAAAAATACACGGTACAAAGTGAAGTGATATGAATCCATAGTTGAAGTTGGTCCAGAAAGACTTTTGAGACTAAAAGGTACAAAATGGTGTTTCAGGACAAGGAACTTTATGGTATCAGATTCAATCGGTATCTTACACAACAGTAAGTCACAATTAAGTGAATGTTGACTAATACCTGTGGATGCCTGGTAATCCTCATAATCCCAGTTTCCCAAAGATGCACCTTGGGTTTGTCAACAGCTGCTACCTCTAGTAAATTGAACGTCGATGGGTATAGGAAGAAGAAGGAAATAAAGTTAGAGAACCAAACTAGTTCATGAAGTCCGGCTATGCTCTGTAATTGCCATAACTGCACTCCGTCGTATCGGTGGTTTATGAAATACACCTGTACACCATCATAAGAACCTTTGGTTATGTTAAATTTCCATTTATCAAGCATTGCACCGGAAAATTATAAAAGTTACCAAAAAATACTGATTATCAGTTTCTGCCAGCAGAGTAGAAACTCACAATTGTGCTGAGTGCCAATGGAAGAGATACCCCGGCAAATAATACACGAAAGGCACGTTCTCCAATGAGTTCCTCACCTTTGTCTCTAAGACTAGCAAGACCACTGTGGACTATTGCGAAAATCAAGGTGAGGGAAAGCATTACAATCTGCGGAAACATTTGGATAAACACTCAGCAAACAGAAATTTAATTATGCAAAACGAAAGAATAATATTTATGCTGGTGACGAAGAGAGCCAAAGTGGAAAAGAAGAAAAGCTTATGAAGAAAGAAACAACAGAGCAGAAGTTTCAGACAACTGTATGTTCGCCCACATGATTCGTCAATAATTCACATGCATCTCTTGCCTCGTACGACTACTATGCCTAAGTCCCATTCTTCATATCATAAGTTACTTAATTCCAATGCGTTCCTTAATACCTGTGACGTATCAGTAGCTACACCTCCAACTGTATCATTACCAACAAAAACAAAATTTATAAAGGAAGAAAAAGAAGAAAGACCACTTCTCTCAAGAGAGCCAAAAAAAGTCTAACAACCTATGCAAAAATATTAAGTATTTATCTTGAAATTTAGTCCTAGACTCACTAGTAATTAAAATTTCAAAATAAAAATTCTTGGAAATGTGAGAATGACAATTATTCAGTGGTTCCTGCTATTTCTTTTACCTTCTTCTTTTTAACAAATCATGATTGTAAAACATCTTATTTAGGTCACTAGATAAGTGAGATAATCTTGTATAACTTATAGAGAATGACACGAAGAATTGCTAGTCACACATTTTAAGACACGATATTTTAGTTACTGCAGACAAAAGAGCAGCAATGAAAAAAGATAAAGAAAGTCAGACAAACCAGTAGTTATTCACCTAACTAACAAAGTTGTGGCCGCAATATGTTAGCGCATATGCCAATTCCAACTGAACTGTCCCAAGCATTAGTCAAGCTCAAATAAGCAATAAATTTGCTACAATTAGCACTTATTAACTCAAGCAAGAACCTTAACACCCACCTGAAAAGAAAGTCCTTTTATTTATATGCTAAAGTCTAGATAGCAGAAAATAAGAATCTTCACCCTACCTCATTTTCAAACCAAATTTAACAGATAGTAATAGTTAGTAGACGATATTACACCCAAGCGCGTGAGCTAGCAGTCGATGAAACTCAAACAAAGACCTTGTTAGACCACGGTTTAAATTTCGCAGAGGCAAAAAAAAAGGAGTTAGGTAATGCCTAACACTTGGTTGGTAGAGTTCCTTGATATCTATACTAGTAGGAGGATATAATTACCAGGTAAAACAGTAAAGGTGCGCGAAAGCTGGCTCGACATCACTATTAGAAAAATATGCATATAGAATATAACCAAGCATGGTAAAAGCACGTTTATTGAGATTGTCAAAATACTAATTTTGAGTGAAGTGCAACAAGGACTGCAAATGAGGAAGAAATGGGAACTCCGTCCTCTGTCAGGAAACTACAAAATTTAGGATCACTATCAAGTAAAGTTAAAGAAAAAGAAAGGAAAATAATGTAACTCCCCTTAGGTAATTCTCTTTTCATTTAAAGTTTCTTATTTTAGAAAATTTTCCTTTTCCTGTTGTATTTCAGTTTATGTAACATTATTTCCTTATTAGCCCGTTCCAAAAGAACATACATTTTTATACCTGAAAACACATTTAACTTTAAACTTAATATTTTTCTACCTGAAAAGCTTCTATAGCCATACAAATGTTATAGCATATTTAACACGACAAGCATCTTTTTTTCTTGAACTCCACGAGTCAAACTACGTCATATAAATTGGAATAGATATCAAATGAAGGGAGTAACATGTTAAACACCTAAAACCAAGTAAAGAATAAAACAAAAAGCAATATCTCAAGACCCAATTCAGGAAAAAAGCAAGAAAAAAAAAGAAGGAAAAAAGAAGAAAGATACAAACAGAATTAGACAAAGCAAATAAGCAATAAATATCCACCTCATGGCTATCTGAAATGCTTGAAACAGCATCAATGAATGATTTTCCAAAACCAGTTGAATTGTCAATCCAAATAACATTAAGAACATAAAGAACAACACCAAGAATCCCAGCAAAATAAACCCAAGATGAAATCTTTTGTTTGGATAACTGGAATTCAGCTGAATCTTCCCCCACCAAGATTTCATCTTTATCATCAACTTGTGTTCTTCCCACTGAAATAGACCAAATTTCCTTTCTGGGTTTGTAAGGAAATGGAAAATGGGAGTTGAAAAATGGTTTCTTGGTGTGTTTGATGGAGGGATGATCTGCTATTATGGCTGAGGTTTGTTTGGGAGTTGGAATTTTATGGTGTTTTGATGATAAAGGAGGGAAAGGAAAAAGAGGATGTGAGAGGAAAATTGAAGTGGCCATTTTTGCAAAATTATTGAGTTTCAAAGTGTGTGTGTGTGTGTGTGTGAGTTTGGGATTTATGCAAAGGGGAGAGAAGTATCTTAAAGGAGATGTGCTCTTTGGTGTATTTTGGACAGTTAGTGGAGGGAAGTGGGTGATGAGATACTAGTTGTAGCTTTTTATGTTTATTTTTGATTGTTTGGTTTGGGTCGGCAAAAACATATGTCTGCCTATAAAAAGATACCTTCCTTAGTAAAATCCGTGTATTTAAATTATTTTATTTAGGAGGATGTTGATAGATTCAATTACAAGGAGTTGTCACTAATTACTATCATGTATCATCTTATAGAATTTATCTTCTTTCACAGCCCGTTATTCTATAGCTAACGGTAGACAATAAATTGCGTTAAAAAAATAATCGAGATCGAAAAATATTGCAACAATCGTAGTATTTGATTTCCAATATTTGAGTGTTACAATCTCTATGATTCATCTGATTCTACTTTCCAATATAAATTCAAGGGCCTTTGAACTTAATCTTGAATTTGTTTTAGCCGTCGCAAACACTTTGATTGTTGCCACGAATTGTATCACGAATAAGTAGCCTTGATCTTGAACGCCTTGTATTTAATTTGATTTCGTTCTTGATCTTGAAAACTTGAAATTTGTGTTGAAGTGCTTGAACACTTGCAGTTTGCAGAGAATTGTGGCCTTTGATCCACGAGCTCCCTTGTGTCTTCTTGTTATAACTTCTGGTGTCTTTTCTGGGTTATGAAGACCCTATTTATAGTTGTGGAAGGGAAGAGTTATGATAAGAACAAACTCTTTCCGACCAATTAGATTGAAGAGTGACAAGGCCGCATTTGATTGGCCAGAACATGTCACTTGCACATGTGGCGCGGTTTTTCATTCGCCTTTTAATTTGACTTGGCATGCCTTGTCATTTTGACACGTGGCATGATCCCATTGACTCTTCCGTTTGACTTGGCGTGCCACGTCATTTGACACGTGGCACCAAACTGGGCCTCTAAGAAGATGACATCTTTGGCTTAATGAAGTGGGCTCATCACTTTAGCCCAATTAAATGGGCTAGCCCAATGGATTAGGACTTATTTACTTAATCCATATATATTGGACTTATATAATTAATTCAATTATATTAGCCCACAGTATTTATTTGGACCAATATATCTTGAATTTAAAATATAATCCAAATTAATTTATGGATTTAATTTTAATAAAATTTATATGCCTAGAAATTACCCCTACTTTAGGACTTGTCGAGGTGTAGATTTGTTGCACTTCCAAGACGAGGCTTGAAGTATAATATCTTCCTTTCCAAGATCCCTTTTTGTTGGTCCATGCACTACTTCAGAGTAATTATTCCCAAGAGTAGTGTGCCATAACTTTTTCAAGTAAGCTTGCACAGGTATCCTTGCTTATTCATGGGGATATACTGCCAAAAGAACTATTTAAGAGTTTCTTGGACCTCATTAGCTATATTTTTTAACCAAGAAGAGATCTTCTTTCTCAAATGTCTCACATTTTTTCATTAAAAAAAATGACATACAATATTAAGTACTCTATTCGCGTGATACCATGAGGTATTTATTCATGGAGTGATTTTTCATGTGGAAAATTTAATGGCCACAAACAAAGTGGAGTATTACTTTTTCATGTAGTCACGTGGGCCTCCACAAATTCTTTGACCATTTTGACTAAAATAAGGACTTGTGACACCTCTTTATCCTTTCAGTTGAACTAGGATACCTAAACCTTCTTGGACTCCTATAACTGCCACAATTTGTATCACATTAGGACTTAAAGCACCTCCACTATTTATTTATAAATAGGGATCCGGTAGAAGGCTTAGAGCCCAGAAACAGTGTTACAAGAGAGTTTGAATCTGCCTTTGACGCTTGGAAGAGTGGAAGGTAACTTCTTCTTCTTTTCTTTTCAATTTTCGTCACCCTTTTACAGCCAGTACATCTTGTGGCATAAAATTGATATCTTGTTGTAGAAAAGTCCAAATCACGGTCTGTTTGATTCTATAGAAGCTAGACTTTTAGTTCTAGAACATATCCGAAATTTAGAATTAGTATCTACGCGGATCACCCTAGGTGATTTTTCGAAGTTAACCTTAATTTCTGCCATGTTGATATTTTCAGATTTGTGCGACTTCACCAAAAGTTTTATATCTTAATGTAGGAACCTCATAATTGCAAACCGTTTGATTTATCAAAAACTAGAGCTCAAGATAACAACATATCCGAAATTCAGAGTTAAACACATTCAGGATCGTTTCAGATGATTTTTTGAAGTCGGCTCTATATTCTGACGCGCCATCAGTTTCGGATTTGTGCGACTTCACCAAATGTTTAATATCTTAATATAGGAATCTCGGAATCGCAAACCCTTTGATATATTAGAAACTAGAGTCAAATATCTACAACATATCCGAAATTCAAAGTTAAACACATTCAGGATCGTTCCAGATGATTTCTTAAAACCGGCTCTATATTCTAATGTGCCAACCATTTCAGATTAGCGCGGCTTCACCAAAAGTTTTATATCTTGATGTAGGGACCTCGGAATCACAAACTGTTTGATTTATCAGAAACTAGAGTTCAATATCTCCAACATATCCAAAATTCAGAATTGTACGCTTTCAGGATCATTCTATATGATTTTGTTAAAGTCGGCTCTACATTCTACCGCGTCAACAGTTTCAGATTTGTGCGACTTCACCAAAAGTTTTATATCTCGATGTTGGAATGTCGGAATTGAAAATCGATTTAATTGGTAGAACCTAGACTCAGAGAGAACCAAAAATCATGGCCCGAATCATGCCATATTGTTCTAGACAATACTTTGAACTCAATTTTTGAATCTAACACGCCTTGGCAGGTAACCATCTCTCTTGTACTTGTATTTTATTTTATTTTTGCCACCTTCTTTTTGTTGTTGTAGGCAATGGTGATATCTTCGTCAACAAGGTTAGACGCACATAGAAGGAAATATTTGTGGTAACAAATAGAAGGACAAATCTTCAACATCATATGGAAGGACAAATCCAAGACAGCATATAGATGATCAAGTCCACAACAACATATAAGAAGATAGATCCCTCGCAACATATAGATGGATAAATCCACATTGCCATACAGACGGATAAATCCATACCAACATATAGACGAACAAATCCACACCAGCATTTAGACGGACAAATCCACATCATCATATAGACGGACAAATCTCCATCACCATATAGATGGACAAATCTCCATTACCATATAGACGGACAAATCTCCATCACCATATAGACGGATAAATCCATATCAATATATAGAAGTATCAAATCCATGATAACATATAGAAGTATCAAATCCATGGCAACATATAGCACGATCAAATCCATGAAGAGGACAACTTAAGGTGCAAAGGGACTTCAACGTCCATCTTAGGACTGAAGAATTATAGTTCCTTTTAAGGAAAAACTCGAGAAGAGACCAACTTAAGGTGCAAAGAGACTAACATGTCCAATTAAGATTGGAAAATTAGAAAACTTCAACTTGAAGGCTTGGCGGACTTTGAAGACCAACAAATTTGAAGATTTGAGCTTGAAAATTTGGTGGACTTTGATGCTTCAACTTGAAGAGCCGTGGACTTTTACTTCAACTTGAAAAATTATTAGGCTTGAAGATTTCAGCTTTAAGACTTGTAGGGCTTAAATAATTCAACCTGAAGATTGGAGAATTTGAGGACTTCAAATTGAAGACCGACGGACATGAAGACTTGGAGGGATTGAATACTTCAACCTAAAGATTGGCGGACTTTTAGACTTCAACTTGAGGGCAGTGGACTTGCAGAATTCAACTTGAAGAGCGACATACTTGAAGATTTGGAGGGCTTATATAATTCAACTTGAAGACTGGCAAACTTGGACTTCAAATTGACCACCGACAGACTTGAAGACTTGGAGGGCTTGAATACTTCGACTTGAAGACTAGCGGACTTGCAGACTTCAACTTGAAGGATGGTGGACTTTCGAAAATTTAACTTGAAGAGCGACATACTTGAAGATTTGGAGTGCTTATATAATTCAACTTGAATACCGGCGAACTTGAGGACTTCAAATTGAAGATTTGGCCTTCTACTAAAAGTCTACATCCATCAATCGGAGATGCCAATTTGCTATGGAGGCTTGCCCCCATTGGACCACCAATCTTCAGTAAGACACAAAGTTCGTGTAATCCTGATTTTTAAGTTCCAATCAAGTGGATTATATTCTATCATTCTCCCTTCGAATAACGACTGGGTAATACGTATCTTTTGAACTTATGCAACTGAACTCAGAATGAAACTCTAAGATACCTACGTACCTCGATGAAGAGGATCAAGTCATGTCGTAGTTCAGAATGGGTGGATTTTTTTTATTTTTTATTTTTATTTTTTTATGTCCTAACTTTTGCCTAGGCCGCCTCTTTTGAGTTTTTTCGACCTAGCGGACTTTTGTTTTTGGGCCATATACAGTCTATACTCTTGCTGGACAGGAGTAACATGCAGTTTTGTGTTAAGGAGTGTAGTAACTCGCAATTTAAGCTCGTATTTTAGGGAGCTTTGCGACTTGAAGATTTTGCTCAAATTTGAAGAGCTTCATGACGTGCAGTTTAGGCTCGTACGTCCAGGAGCCCTGCAACTTGAAGATTTAGCTTACAATTTGAAGTTCCGCTCGAATTTCAAGAGCTTCATTACTTGAAGATTTAGCTCACAATTGAAGAGCTTTGCAGCTTGAACAGTTTGCTCGAATTTGAAGAGCTTTACAACTTGAAAACTTTTCTCAAATTTTAAAAGCCTTACGTCTTAAAGTTTGGCTTTAATTTGAAAAGTTTTGCGACTTGAAGCCTTTGCTCTATTTTTAAGAGCTTTTGACTTGAGTCTTCACTCGAATTTGAAGAGCTTTGTAACTTGAAGACTTTGCTCGAATTTGAAGAGCTTTACGTCTTAAAGATATAGTTCAAAATTGGGGAGTTTCGTGACATAAAATACAGACTCATGTGCCAAGAAGCATTACAACTTGCAGTTTAGACTCGTGCTTTGAGGAGCATTATAACTTGCAGTTTAAACTCGTGCGTTAAGGAGCGTTATAACTTGCAATTTAGGCTCGTGCGTTAAGGAGCGTTACAACATGCATGGA